TCTCCCTCTCCCACTGCCCCTGCTTGTGTTCTTGCTCTTGCTGTCTCTCTCTCTCTCTCTCTCTCTCTGTCAAATAAATCTATCTTAAAAAAAATAGTTTTGACACATCAGAGCTTCACTATATTCTAACACAAAGTAATTGACAGCCTAATAAATTTATAAACGGAAAAACAAAGTGGGGCTCATGTTTGGATCCATTTCTGAAATGCACTTGAAGTGCAGTCTTTTGGAAATTACAGAGGATGAGTAAGAATCCGGATGGTTATATGAGTAAAGACTTGTGTACCAGGACACCTGGGTGGCTCAGTCGTTAAGCATCTGCCTTTGGCTCAGGTCATGATCCCAGGGTCCTGGGATTGAGCCCCGCATCGGGCTCCCTGCTCCGCGGGAAGTCTGCCTCTCCCTCTCCCTCTCCCCCTGCTTGTGTTCCCTCTCTCGCTGTGTCTCTCTCTGTCAAATAAATAAATCTTAAAAAAAAAAAAAAAGACTTGTGTGCCCTTCTGGAGGAACCGCCCCTATGCACCTGTCTGCAGCCTGCAAATCCCGTTTGCATCTCTAGCAGTTCCTTGGAGGCTTTGGCGCTATCATGAAATAGTTCTGGAATGTTCGCTTATGTAGTGGATCTTTACCACAGGTCTGAATCTCTTGCGTTGCTCTGAGGGGCAGGTGGGTGGTGGCTGCTGAGCAGTATTTCTGTAGATACATTTCTGCAACATTATTGCCAAATGTTACTGAGCTTCTTATTCTGCACAATCTGGTGCCAGCTTCTGAAACCCTGCTTCTTGATTACGGACTTACTGTTTGTGCTGGAGTGCTTGATCCCAGGCAAGGGGTTCAGGGTTTCCCACAGATCCACAGAGAGCATCTGTTTCAGTTGAGTGGTATTTGTGCTTTTTCATTATTTCAATGCCTCTTTCACTGTTAACCTTCTAAGGTTTTATTAGTGTTTATGAAAAGGAATCCGTACGATGTGGAAAGTTTTTCTAAGACACACAGACTGTAAATCACAGGTTCTAGAAGTGTTAGGTTCTTTCCAAGAAGAAGTTGTTTCAATCATAACAGCCAATGAAAATTCCCCTCAGTGCTCACAGTGCTGTTCATTCTGTGAGGGCGTGGAATGGTGCCCCCTACGCTGGAGCTGGGTCTGCGTCCTAATTCCCGGAACCTGTGAATGTGACCCACTGCGGAAAAAAGGGTCTTTGCTGATATAACTAAATTAGATCGTCTTGGAATATCCAAGTTGGACCTAAATACAGTGACAAGTGTCCTTTTAAGAGACAGAAGAGGAGAGACACAGAGAAGCCTCACGAAGGAGGTAGAGACAGGAAGACGTGTCCACAAGCCCAGGACACCCGGACCCCCAGGAGCTGGAAGGAGCAGGAAGGACCCCTCCTGGAGCCTCCACAGGGAGCGCAGCCCTGGGACACCTGGGTCTCAGACTCTGGCTTCCCAGCTGTGACAGGGTAGATTTTTGTTGCCTTTGGCTGTCCCGTTCATGGTGTTCCGGCAGAGGCAGGAATCTGACATAACAAGAAAACACCAACATCATCATCACAGGGTGACTCCAGAAAGCATGCGTTGTAAGTGTCTGCGGCTCTGTTCCCGGTCAGTATGCACAGGTTCGGGGAGGGTCCCTAATGACTAGCCACACTCATGCCTGTGCATTCTAGGTTGTTTTTCTAGGGAAAAAAATGCGGCACTTCTGCACAGAGATCAATTTTTTTTTCCACGTGTAAGTCTGAGTTGTTAAATACAGAAGGCTAGAATACATAATTCAGCATTTTAACTTTCATGTTTATAGAAGCAGAATAGAAGCCATGAATAAATACATTCTCAAAAAAAGGTTGTCTTAAATAAAATAACAGTTCATTTCCTCTTCTCCCTTTCCATCCCAGAGTGGGTGGTGCATTTGCTTTATTTGGCGATAAAAAGTGGGATCACTGTGCCTCGGAGAGTCACCCGTGTGGAGTGACTATGGACAGCCGATGAGGGGGTTCCCGCCAGGCCTGGTTTTCGGGATGGCTTGGCTACATCAGGTGTGCCAGGGTGCGCAGCCTTCCCTCTCTCCGGTCCTGCCGTGGGGGTGCTGGAGCCCCTGCCCCGGGGACCGCAGCCTGAGCTGCATCCGGCAGTCCCCAGCTTGAGGCCCTCCTTTAGGAAGGGTGGCTCCCTGTTGGCTGCATGTACACCCCAGAAACTCTCCTGCAGCTTTCTCCCCCAGCCTGGGGGCCAGGCTTGCAGAGTGCATCTGGCAACAGTGGGGAATGCCATCCGTCACACCCAGCATGGCTTCGGGGGTCCTCCCTGCACCTCGGCCGAGGGCCAGCAGATGGGACAGCTGCGCGGAGGACAGCGTGGCCTGAGCCCCTTCTCAGAGTGTGTGTTCAGGAGGTGATCGGAGGCGTGCAGGCCCTTAAGTAGGGACCTCACCAGCTCATTGTTCATGGGGGCCAGGCCACGGAAACGGCTTGGACCTTTAACGGTAGGGTCTCCACTTGGTCAGTCAGGCCCCTCAAACGCGTGCAGGCTATGCTGAAGTGGTGGCGCGGACAGGCGGCCACCACGTGTTAGTGGAACGTGTCCTAGGTAATTGTACATAATTCCATTCTGTAATTTAAAACAGGTTTGTGCGTAGAAAAGAGACTCCAAGGACAGATGTCAAGCTGTTAACTGAGGTGATCTTTGTGGGTGGCATGCGGGGGGTTTTCCACGGCTCCTCCTGCTGTCACGTGCCTTCTGTGTTGTCTACAATCTTCTGGTTTTCCTGTCTTCCCCACAGCTGCACCTTCCCTCCCACCCCCACCTCCTGCCACGCACACGCACACGCACACGCACACGTGTGCACGCGTGCCCTCAGGCAAGCAAACACGTGAAAAGCTTCTAATTGTAAGCCAATGTTTTGCTTCTTTGGACAGGACTGAGATTTCTGAGAGAGGCATGGTGGGGACAGGGCGTCCCTTTTACGCGCGTGGAAACCATGAGGCCAGCGGGCGGCCCAGCTCCAGGCAGGGGCGTCGGTTGTGAGCTGTGATAAAGTCCACACAGCCTAGTGCTGGGGCCGTGCTGGCATGAGGGTGCATAGAGGTCGTTCTGCGAGTGTGTCCCCGCGTGGACCGACTCTCACCCCAGGGCCCAGAGCTCTCGGGCACATGGTGGGAGGACGGGCTCGCAGCACAGCGTGTGGATGGTCTCACTGGAAAATAAAGAAATCCGGGTTGCTTGAATATTGAGATGCCCTTTAAGGATTCTTGGGAGAAATACTAAAAAAAAAAAAGAGCAGAGACTGCTTAGGGGTGCCTGGCTGGCTCAGTCAGTGGAGCATGCGACTCTTGATCTCGGGGTAGTGAGTTTGAGCCCCACGCTGGGCATAGAGCAGACGGAGCAACACTTACTGTTTCCCCACATTTAAGCAGCTGTGTGTTAGGAGTAGAGCTGCAGGGGTGAGGACCAGTGTGTTAGGAGCAGAGCTGCAGGGGTGAGGACCAGTGTCTTAGGAGCAGAGGTTCAGGGGTGAGGACCAGCTCGGCTGCTCTGCAGCCCCTGTTGGTGTCATTTCCATGGTGACATGCCCGTGGCTGGGGTGTGACCAGCAGAATGGAGTAGGGGGCCATGGGCCCAGCCCACGGAGATGGCAGTGAGTGTCCCTGCTTCTGGGTGGCATGGTGGGCAGCCCAGGCTGTGGGGACAGAGGTGGTCATCCTTCTAGCAGACTGGCTGCTTCCCTCCAGCAAGCATTGCCTCAGCTTTCCTGGGTCCCGCTGTCTTGGCCTGTGTCACTCTGGGGCATTTGTTTGCTTATCTGCCTCCTTCTGGGCACCTCCAGGGGCAGCGGTGACTGTGGCCAGGGCCTGCCACACTTGAATATTTGGTAGGCATCTGAGGACCCAGCGGAAGACCACCTGGCTGATGGTGTCCACACCCCTCCTGGGGTTCATTCCAGCACCCTGCCTTTGGCCTTGGCCAGTGTTCTTGACTGTGGGGACCCTTGGTCTGTCTTTGGGGTGCTGGTGCCATGTGCAGCCAACCAAGTGCCGTCCAGGTTGTGGGGCGGTGTGAGGGCCCTGGAAAGCTGCATTCAGACAGGTGTCCACCACCAAGCTCCTTACACAGCGGGAAGTGAGATCCCAGGATCTGGATGCTCCCCGCAATCCCGGTGAAGTCTGGGATGACTGCTTTCAGGCCTTTAGGTTAATGGGGTTACTGGGTGGATGCTCTGCATGTTTCAGAGGGGACGACTGTGGTGTCTGTGGGTGCCCATCGCCAAGGGCACCACTCGGGATAAGCTGCCCAGTGCCCAGTGGAGCCCTGCACAGTGGGGCTGACGCATGGGATCCCAACCCCCTTGACTACCACCAGGAGAGCATCCCGCATGTGGAACGAGATGCCTCTGAGGGCGTGGCTGGATTCGGGTGCGGAACGCAGCCCCCACCGTGAGCTCGAGCTGGCCACACGGATGACCCCCTCAGGGGCCCGTAGCGTCACTCTCTGAAATGTGGGCAGAAGAACGGGCCGGATGAGCCACACCCTGAGGCAGAGGCCACTCAGCAATCCTGTTGCATGTTTGGGGCTGACCCAAGCTTCTCACTCAGCTGTGTCCACTAGCTGCTTAGGCAGCACCTTTCCTCTGGGCATTAAAACTGCAAAACCACTGGCCTGCAGGTGTTCGGAGGGGGCGGCTCTGCCCTGTGGCTCCCGGGCACCAATGGCCTGTGGCTCTGAGCAGAGCTGTGGGCTGGGAACCGAGCTCCGGCTTCACTTGTCTTTACATCTTTGTTCTCTGTTATGATTGTGTATGAGGACCTCACTGTGTCTCGGAGGCTGATGTGTAAGATAGTGGCTGTGTCCGGGACATGCTGGAAGGGGTGACCTCTGACCTTTGGCAGAGCGTGGGCTCCCTGGCCTGGGTGTGCGGGCCCTCGGCGGGGGCCGTCTACACAGGAGCAGGGCTTGTTGGGGTGAGCGGGCTGCACGCTGACTTGCGGGCCTGCTGTGTCTTTCAGTCAACGAGTTCACGGTGATCAGGAAGAAGTTCAAGTGCCCCTACTGCAGCTTCTCGGCCATGCACCAGTGCATCCTCAAGCGGCATATGCGCTCCCACACAGGGGAGCGGCCCTACCCCTGCGAGATCTGCGGCAAGAAGTTCACACGGCGGGAGCACATGAAGCGGCACACGCTGGTGAGTGGGGGCGGGGTTGTGAGTGGGGCCGTGGCTCAGCATGGGGTCAGCGTGGGCTGTCACAGGGTCAGCGTGGGGTCAGTGTGGGCCGTCACAGGGTCAGCGCGGGGTCAGCATGGGGTTGGCGTGAGGTCAGCATGGGGTCGGCGTGGGGTCAGCCTGGGCCAACACAGGGTCAGCGTGGGTCATCACAGGGATCGGCATGGGGTCAGCATGGGGTCAGCGTGGGTCATCACAAGGTCAGTGTGGGTCATCACAGGGTCAGCATGGGGATAGCATGGGGGGTCAGTGGAGGGTAGTCAGCATGGGGCATCACGGGTTCAGCTGGGCCCATTCTGTGCTGCGCTGAGGGGTCCAGGAAGGTGGGATGATGATGTGGGGTGCCCAGAAGGCCATGGGAAGCCCTCAAGTGGGTTCTGCTCTGCAGTGGAAAGGCCAAGTGAGTAGGTGGAGCGATGTTGACCCCACCCCCTGATAAGCTCCACCCCCTGAGACTGGGTGCAGAAAGCAGGTAGGCTGTATCACCCCCAGCCCCAGACCTCGGCCTGGCCTTGGCAAGCGCTTCCTCCCCTGCCAGGACCTCTGCTCTCAGCCCCTGGTGTCCCACCATGAGGTCACTTCCTTGGTGCCCCGGCTCCAAGGCATGGTGGGACCCCCTCCACCACCCGCTCCCCCATGGCCTTGTAAGGCATTAGATTACCTGTGGTGGGCACCCAGCTGGAGTTGCCAGGTGGCAGGTGCTGAATGGATAGATTTGCTTGGCCAGGAAGTGATAGGAAAAGGTCATCCTTGAAATAGGCAGATTTGCCAAAAAACACAGGGCAAGGGACCCCTGGGCAGGTGAGATAAACCATGGGGGTCAGGGCTGGACCACAAGGCTATACAGGTGTCGTCTTCTTGAGACACACATTCAGGGTGGGGTTCAGGACTGAGGGTGGGGCCAGCTGGAGCTTGCAGGGCTGAGGCGGTGGAGGCAGCCCTGGGCTGGCAGATGCCCAGAGCCCTCAGCCTGTGCCGTGGGGGCCAGGAGAGGGCACTGGGGTCATGTCATGAGTTTGGGAATCTCAGAGGTGTTGGGAGTCGCCCACGGGGTGCGCAGACTTGGCTGACCCCTGCAGCATGCTGACCTGTGTCAGGAGCAGAACCCCCAGGAGGTGTGAGGGGGCTGTGTTGGCAGTGGTGAGGGTGGCCCAGGGGTGCCCTCGCACAAGGGTGGCAGGCGGCTGGGGGAGGGCAGGGTGATACCCTCAGACCTGGCTGCTGGCAAGGTGAGCTGTGTGGACGAGCAGGGTCTTTGCCTGTGTGTGTGTCCATCTGGTGTGAGTGGGGGGCTCTGGCTCACTTTGGGGTCGCATCCAGATTTACTCTGCTTGGATCCAACAGTTGGCTCTCTGGACGGGGCAACCTTACTAGCCTGTTGTTTTATCTTTCCAGCCCAGTGGAGGGCACTTATTTTGGGGTGAGGACATTTGGGAAGGCTCCTGAGAGGTCAGGCAGCAAAGCTGGAAGGGGACAGCCCCAAGAGTGGGGAGGAGCCCAGCCCAGCTGACTAGGGGACGTCCCATGGCCCCAGCCTGCAGTGTCCACCACCCCGTCGTGGGGTCCAGCAGCTCGGGAAAGTGGCAGCCCCAGCCTGGACGGCAGGTCTGTGGGGCAACCGCTAGGGCTGACTTGATGCCACTGACTGCAGAGCTGCCCCTTTGTCCAGTGTTTCCCTTCGGCAGAGCCCACCGCGAGAGCTGTAGAGGCTCAGGTTACCACAGAAACTTGGAGGGATCCGTACGCCGATGCCCACGTTGTTCCTACTCAGAGATGAATGGTGGCTTGTTTGTTACACTCTAGTGCTGGAAAGTTGTCAGTACGTGGGTTACGACAGCTTTTCTTTAGCAAAACCACATTATGGCTTCAGGAAGTGTTGGTCCCATTTGAGGATCGGTGTGGTCGTTGCCCGTTTACCTTGGATGGGGCCAGATTTCCATCCTGGGGTCCTGGTTAGGTTTCAGGGAGGATCACAAATCCCTGAAAATGTACTTAAAATGTGTGCAGGTTTGCCTTTTTCTGAGAAGAGGCTCTGTATCTTCCCCTTTAATTTGTTGAGGGCCCCTGGCCCCCAGGAAACAGCTGAGCGGCTGCTGACAGCAGGTGGCAGTAGGGGCACTCAGTGTCCCTTCTTTGTGGAGGCTGGTGCCTGTGCTGTGCCCCCTTGGGAGACAGAGGGGCTGGGGCAGTGTTGCCAGGAGTCCTCTGGACGGTGGGGTCTCTGGAGGAGGAGCCAAGGGTTGCCATGGAGCCCACATCCTCCCTCTCTCTTCCCTCCCTCCATGTGTTAGTTAGGACAGGTGCCCAGCCATCTGGTGCCGGCTGAGTGGCTCCCCGAGACACCTCGGTCGCTCCCGGGTGTCCTGGCACAGCCCCCAGCTCCCTGCGTGGGAGCCCCAGGTCTTGAGGGGCCTCTGTGGACACTGCCTCCCACGGCCCCACCAGGCCTGCTCTCAGAACAGTTTCTGTTGGGGGAGGCTCGAGGAAGCCCTGGGTTTAAAATACAACAAACAGAAGAGACGCAGGAGGGTCCTGGGGACCGCATCTTTTTTTTTTTTTAAAGATTTTATTTATTTGAGAGAGAGAGAGAATGAGAGATAGAGAGCACGAGAGGGAAGAAGGTCAGAGGGAGAAGCAGACTCCCCACTGAGCGGGGAGCCCGCTGCGGGACTCAATCCCGGGACTCCAGGATCATGACCTGAGCTGAAAGCAGTCGTTCAACCAACTGAGCCACCCAGGCGCCCGGGACCGCATCTTTTGAGGCTCCGTTTCTAGAATCAGAATGTGCGGGGGCCCAGCCTGTGGACTCTGGTCAGCAGTGAGCGTCTGAGCAGTGGTCTTCATGGTCAGGGTTTGTGGAAGGCTGTGATGGGAAGGTGGGCCGTTCGCGGTGGTCTGTGGAGCCACTGAGTTGGGAGGCAGAGAGCCCTCAGCCCAGGACGGGGAAGGGGGTCCCTTCCGAGGGCGCAGCCCCCAGGACAGTGACCCATCAGTGACGGTGTGTTCCACATATGGAGAAGGGCACAGCTCAGCAAAGCTTTTCCACCATGACACCACTGGTTATGTTTTTATTTACTCGATTGCTCTAGAACACCAGAGAATTCAGAGAAATATGAGGAATTAAAATCGCAACCTTCTCCTTCCACTGACCGCCCCGCACTGACCGCCCGTCCCCCCTGCACTGACCGCCCCGCACTGACCGCCCCGTCCCCCCGCACTGACCGCCCCGCACTGACCGCCCGTCCCCCCGCACTGACCGCCCCGCACTGACCGCCCCGCACTGACCGCCTGTCCCCCCGCACTGACCGCCCGTCCCCCCGCAGGTCCACAGCAAGGACAAGAAGTACGTGTGCAAGTTGTGCAGCCGCGTGTTCATGTCGGCCGCCAGCGTGGGCATCAAGCACGGCTCGCGGCGCCACGGTGTGTGTGCCGACTGCGCGGGCCGAGGCGTGGCCGGGCCCCTGGACGGCGGTGGCACGGAGGGCTCCCCCGAGCTGTTCCCTGGCGATGGGCCCTACCTGGAAGACCCCGACGACCCGCGGGGGGAGGGCGAGGAGGAGCTGTGTGAGGACGAAGATGAGGTGGGCCTGGCCCACGAGGACGCGCTGCTGGCGGCCGAGAAGGAGGACGAGGACTCGCCGCGGGGACCCGGCAGCCCCCCGGGGGCGCCCGACAAGGACTTCTGGATCTCCTAGGCCGCGGGCTGGGGGCGGGGCGGTGCCACCCCTCCACTGCGCGCGCGTGCGCGTGTGCGTGCGCGCCCGTGTGTATGTGCGCGCGCGTGTGTGTGCGTGTGTGTGTGTGCACGCGTGTGCGTGTGTGTGTCCCTAGGGATCTGCTCTCGCCTGGGGCCCGGCCACGCTGAGCCCCCTTTATTCTGCTCCTGCCCCCCAGACACACACACACAAACCGGCCCTGCGGGCTCCGAAGCAGGCATGACCCCAGCAAGTAAGGGCTCCGGGACCGAACAGGATGTTGGGGGGCACAGGGTGGGTTTGAGCAGAGGGAGAGCACATGTTCCCTCGTGTCTGCAGGGACCGAGCGAGGGTCCCCAGCAGGTACGTGTAGATAGGGCACGCACGGTGGCCCGATGGCCAGGTCAAGGTCGGGGCTGGTCGGGGTCATGAGCATGGTCCCCAAGGCCACAGGTCCAAGGGGTGTTAAGGAAGGTGTTGCATACACCCGATGTCCAGTGCTGGAGTCTCCCCCCGCCCCCTGCTCTGCTCCCCCTTTTTCAGCAGCCTGGTCACTGCCTGTGGCCACCGCCGCAGCCTTCTGCCGCCGCCGTGGCAGCCTGCGGAATCCAGGTCCAGTGTACAGAAAGCCCCGTGGCCCTCCTGCCTCTGGGCTTTGGTGCTTCACATACAACAGCTGCAGAAGCCCCTGCCGGGGCCGAGGACTCCCAGGTGCTATCATCCGGTGGAGGCCGCCAGGTGGGGACCGACGTGCCACGCTCCTCTGGTGCAGGGCTCAGCACGCCCCGCTGCTGGCCACTCAGGGCCCTTTGGGGGCGCCTGGGCTCTTCGTTCCGCGTGCACTTCCTTGGGGAGCCTGGGGGCGGCCTTGTCCTCTCGGCTCTGCCGTCCTTCGTGCCCAGGCCCCTCCTGCTGGCCCCTCCTGGGCGCCCTTGCCTTGTTGCTGCTAACACTGGAGGTGGGGGTCCTGACAGCTGGGCGCTGCCCACACCTCCCCGCGTGGGTAACCAAACTTTTTAAGTCGTCAGAGACATAGTTGAGGTAGTTCATAAAATTATTTTGTTTGGCATTATTTTTCTGACGTGACGAATCCTAGCGTTGTCTTTCCTTCAGCTTGTCAGTCCTTCTGTTGTCTTTGTAGATGAGCTCACCGCCTCTTTGTGACTGGTTTTTTTCTGAGTGAAAAGCAAGGGCCCCGCTGTGAGGACCCTCCCCTGGGCCGCAGGACCCGCCCCGGTCTGTCCCCTTCCCCATAAGGCCGTTCCGGACCACACTTCACTACTCAGACATTCCGTCCTGCGCCCGCACGGCTCAGGCGCAGGCAGGGCCCGTCTGGGCACGGGCTCCTCTGGGGGCTCAGCCCGAGCCCCACCGAAGACAGTGTTTCTACGTTCTCTTCTTCCACAGACTGTACGCTTCTACCAGGCTGGTCACCGTGTCACATCTATTCTTTTTAGGTGGAAAAAGGAGAATCCCATGAGCCCCTAACTTAGGTTCCGGGGGTGGCCTGGAGCGCTCGCCTCCCCAGCTGCCGCTGGGGGGCTGGGGGCCTTCTGTGCTTGTTTTCAGTACCATCAGTTAGAGGGCGTGGGCAGAGCCGGCCGCCGGCCGCCGGCCGCCCACACTCCTGTCTTCCGTGGGGACGTGAGGCGCCCGCGCAGGCTGCCCTGCCAGCTCCTCCTGACACGGGCGGTGGGGGGTGGGGGGCGAGGCCAGTGCAGGGGCTCTGGGACCCGCTTCCCTTGCTGCCTTTCTCCAGTGAGGCCCTGGGCTGCACCCCTCACAGGGCCCGCAGAGCTGTGTACCTCCCCGACTTTCTGACCCCTTTTCTAAACAGACCTACTTTCTTATAAATGTATTTGGAAACCAGACCTTTGCTACCAACAGTGTCTCTGGGTTTTGTACTGGTCCCACTGCTCAGGCCGTCCTGCCCACACCCTGGGCCATCTCTGCCTCCGCACTCAGGACATCTCGCTCTTTCTGACCCGCTCGCTCCCTGCTCTGGACCACCCTTGCTGACCTTTTTGGGGGGTCGCTCTCAGTGCCACAGGGGCATTTTCTTCCTTAAAACCAATACTGTACTGGAAAACCGAGGGCCTCACTCCTGCCCACCAAGTTCGCAAGGCGTGTGCTGCGAGGCAGGCTCGCCGTCCCACGCAGTTTGCCGCCGTCGACGGAAATGAAGGCATCCCCTCTCAGGAGGCGTGGAGGGAAAAGATGTGTAATGAAGGGTTTTTTTACGTGACTGGTTTTTTTTTAAATCAATGTTTAAACTAATAAATATTTTTTTATGAAGAGGAAAAAAATGTGTAGATTACATTTCACGTTTTGTACTTTTTTGTTTGTGTCTGTCTGTATTTTGGTGTTTGCAACACCAAAGTGGAAAATGCAGTCCGTTGAGTGGTGAGTTCTTTGGGGTGGGGGGCGCAGGGAACCCGTATGACTTTTGTATCAAGCTCTGGATCCTGACCAGGTTGTATATTTGGACTCTGGGTTTTGGGAAACAGTCATAACACTGCCAGGACTGAATAGGGACCTCGACTCAAGAGACACGGCTACTCCTTCCAACTTTGCACATCTTCCTTTTTAAAAAAGAAACTCTGAGAAAGGCAAAAACTGGAACTCTTTGCAATATGATGAAAGATAATCTTATTTTCGCTCATTATGTGACGTGCGATGCTTAAGAAAGCCATACTTACTGGTTTTTATTTTTTAGATTCCGTGCTGTGTTTTGTACGTGGCCCTTTCAGAGCTACTTGTAGTGAGGGCACTGTGTGTGTGTGCTTTTCTGAAATATTTATTTTTTCAACATGCTTTCAACCTGTCAACAAAAACAAAACAGACAAACAAGGGCAGTGTTTGAAAATTGTTGGTTTTCTTTCCCTTGGGGATAATCTATATTATATCAACTTTATATTATCATAAACCTGTGTTTGTATTGGAGATGTGTTTATTTGGGAGAAGAGACTTCAGTGATTGGTTGGCAGAAAATCGCAGCTGTTGCAGTCTGTAGCCACAGGGCAGGTGGACGGCACCTTCCTGTCTGCTGGGGCGAGCTCTGGGCCTGCCTGGGGGTCTCCTTCCTGTGACGGTTTAGCTTCGACCTTCTTGCAAAGCTTCCACTTTCAATAAACTGGGAAATTGCTGCTCAAGTGGACGCCTCATGAGTGTTTCACAGTGTCCCCTCCTCCCGTGTCAGGGAGTGAGCCCTCTGCAGTCTGTTGGCTGGCCTCCCCGGTCTGCCCACCCACCACCCCTGCCTCTGGCAGGGTCTCAGGTCCCCCCAGGAGGCAGACACAGCTTCTGGAAAAACCCCAAATCTTTAATTTTTCTCCTTGCCTGGCGCGGCCCAGACTCGAGACACCTGAGCTTCGCAAACAAGATACAAATATCAGCGCCCGGGGCCCTCGAACCATCGGGTTAAGTGCGGGCAGGGGAGGCCCCTCCCTGACACCCCTCAAAGTGCATCACAGACCGGCCCCCATGTGGCCCTGAAGTTGGCCCATCAGCACCCTGACAAGTCCATGGGCTGACAGGCAGCGAGGGCGGCCACCCCCAGGGACCCCGGGCCAAGGGGACAGCCGTGAGGTTTGGCTTTAGTGCAAAAGGCTGGTTTCTTCAGAGGCACTTTGAGTGGTGGGACCCCCCCCCTCACAAACCTCTGGGGGTCGAGGGTCACCAACTTCCCCCACCATTAAAAAGCAGACCCTGCCGCGGGAGGAGCGCCTGGCTGGGGGGCTGGGGAGTAGCTTATTTTCTCCTTGGCAGAGTCCTGGGGAGCGGGGCAGCAGCTCGGGGCGGGCACAGGCGCGCATGCTCAGTCCAGGAAGCGCTGGCATGCCTTCTTCCAGCGGCAGGCTGTGCACCACAGGTCCCGGTGCTCCATGCCGTACACCTTCCGGCACTTCTTGGCGTCACCCCGGGGCTTCCTGGGGGGGGACGCAGAGGAGACGCGGGCTGATGCTAGGCCAGGACCCTCCCCGCCTGACGCCTGCCCCGGCCCCTCAACACGCACGCACCTTGGGTTGGCCCCAAGCTTGGAGGGCAGGGTTGGCACACAGGTCCTGATGGCGGCGGGCCGTGGCTCCAGGCGGATGGGGGCCAGGCAGCCCTGAGAGGAGACACAGCTGTGTCCTCTCCCCTGTCCCGAGCACCCCGAGACTCACCCCGAGCTGCTGCCTGTGGCCTCACCCACCTGGTAGGTGTCGTCACCGTGGCACGCCTCAGGGGGTGCCGCAGAGCTCAGCACGGGGACCGGAGGCAGGGCCAGCGGCCGCAGCAGGCTGGACAAGGTCGGGGGCTCTGGCAGCTCCAGGCGGGGGAAGGCGGGTGGCGCGGAAGCTGTGGGGGACACTGGGGAGAGGCTGGACAGCCCGTCTGTCAGCACATCCATGCCAACATCCAGCTCTGTGTAGTAGAAGTCCTCCTCACCATCGCTCTGCTCTGGCTCTGCCTGCCGCCTGTGGGGGACACAGTGGGTGGGAGCTGAAGCACTGGTCCACCTGGCTTGCCCCACCCCCACCTGCCAGCCCCGCCGCACCCCAGGTGCACCAGGCGGATGTGTCTCTGCATCCCGGAGGCCGTGCTCAGCACCTTCCCACACCGCTTCCACAGACACTGGAACAGGACCTGCACTGAGCTCTGGGTGACAAGGGCTGGTGGTCAGGCATGGCCACCGCGTCCACCCCGCCCTGAGGGCTGCCTCGGGCTCACCTTCCTCTTCCTTGGGGCAGGTTCCCCAAATAGGAAATGGGCTGCCTCAGAGGGCAGTGGGGGTGATGGGGTAGATGGAGAGGACTGGTCACTGGCCAGGTCCCAGCCCCAGTCTCCACTGCAGCTGCCCAGTGGCCGCACCAGGGCCTCCTTCCAGGGCTCCAAGCCAGGCTCTGTGGGGACACATCGGCACCCGTGTTAGGGCTTGTCGGGCTCGGGCTGCTCTTCAGAAGCTGCCGCTGCAAGCCCCTTAACTCTGCACCTCCCGCCTGTTCACCTGGTCACAGGTGAGCCATGTCTTTTGGAGGAAGCAGTGGCCGGGAGGACTAGCCTCCCCAACACAGGGACATCCTGTGTGGGGAGACGCCTGGCCAGCCAGGGGGAAATGGACAGGTCACAGGCCTGCAGACTGGGGACACACTGAGAGGCACTGAGGGTCCTGATGTCTGTCTCAGGCCTCAAGAGGTCTATTTAGAAGGTGGTGTTCCGGGCAAATGGGTTCTGCTTGCCCCAAGGGGTGGGCAACCACAGGGTCCCGGAGACCCCAGGCCAAGTGTCTCAGTCTCACCTGGGCTGCAGGCTGCAGCTGGGGCCCCCAGCAGGAGGGGGCTGGTGGACAGACTTGTGAGGGCAGCCGCAGCCATGACCTCATCCAGTCGGGATTTTCCTGGGGGGGCTCTGGAAGAGATGTGGGTGGCATCCAGCAAGTACTCCAAGCTCCTCCCCTAGCCCAGCACACGTGCAGGCCTGGGCACTCTGTGTGTGTGTGTGTGTGTGTGTGTGTGTGTGTGTCTGTGTGTGTGTGTGTGTCTGTGTGGCGCGCGGCTCCCTCCCTCCAGGCACTGGGCTGGAGGCCCGTCTCCACCCCCAGCTCGGATTACAGAGACCAAATCTCCAGGAACCACCAGTCACAGGGCCCGGGCTGGGGTCTCCCTGAAGCCTGAGTCCTCTGCAGCCTGGGCTTTGTTCCACGGTGGCTCCTTCAGGCCCAGGCGCTGGACAGGGGTCTGAGGCCCCACCCCCAGGCCGGGCCAGACGAGGCCAGGCCGGGCCCAGCCCTCCCCCCAATCACACAGTAACCAGGGTTGTGCAACAGCAGCTGCGGGCCCGCGCCAGGCCTGGGAGGGAGGGACCAGCCAGCAACAGCCAGGGAAGACAAGCTGGGTCCCCAGGCCCCAACAGGCCAGGCCAGAACCCGCCTCTACCTGAGGAGCCAGCTTTGGGTGTGGGGCACCCAGGAGGGTTTTAGGCAGGGCTATAGGAGATGGCCGTCAGAAGCTCTGGGATTCCTGGACCGTCAACCTCACGTCAGCGGGCAGCCTCTACGGCACAGAGACTGACAGGGGCCCCCTGCCAGCTCTGCGCTCTGGGCCCCAGAGGTTGGGGGGCGCAAGGGGCACGATATACTGATAATTTCTGCTCCACTCCTCCAGCGCTGGAGAGTTGGGGAGGGGGCCAGAAACCCCAGGTCGGGGCCCTGACCTGCCCTCCACCAAGACCCCTCCACCCCCCGTGGGGTGGGGCTCGAGAAGGCACGTGCCCGCGCCCCACCCACCACCCCTGCGCACACCAGCGCACGTGTGCGCACGCCCACCTCGGCCTGGCGCGCGGGACCCTGGCTCACCTCTGCGCAGGCACCGGGATGTGCGCCGACGGCTTCGGGGGCCCCACCGCCGCCCCCACCCACGTCCCCGGGACCCCCAGGTTGGTGGCCCGCGGCTCCGACTCCCGAGGCAGCACGAACTCCAAGCCCGCAAAGCCGCCGCCCACGGCAGGGCCCTGCGGAAGGGGCAGGCTCAGCGCAGGCAGCGGCACGGGGGTTCCCAGCCCCCACCCCGGATCCGCTCCGCACCCGCCCCCCAAACCGGCTGCGGCCGGTGGGGACGGCGCGGCCCCGCCCCCGGCCCCGCCCCCGGCGCGGCGCGGCGGGAAGCGCTCCCGGGTCGCCCGGCCCGGCACTGCCAGGCCCGCGGACACGCGCGGACCGCCACGGCCGCCCCGCCCCCGGGGCCCAAAGTTTGTGCAGCCCCGACGCCATCTTTGCAGCGAGGGAGTTTGGTCGGCGCCCCGCCCCCCGGCGCCCGGTACCTGCGGCGGCGCGGGCACCGATACGGGCGCGGCCGCGGGGTCCCGGCCGGCGGCACGGGGCGGGGGGCGCCCGCAGCCCGGAACGGGCAGCGGAGGGCGCTCGGCCTCCATGGCCGGCCGGCCGGGTGCCGAGGCTGCAGCGGCGAGGGCGGACGCTCGGGACACGGCCCCCCAGGCCGGGCCGGGCCGGGCTGGCCGGGCCGCCGACCCCC